CCAATAGACCAAGTTGCGAAAACAAGGTCAAATGACTACTAAACACCGAAGGGAGATTTTGACCGAAATGGAGGCCCTAACATCTTGGTCTTTTTATCTACGTCATGAATATTATTCGCTCTGGGAACAAAGTCATCTGTTAAAAATGTCAAGCTCATACATAAAATCCAGTCCAATAACATCCTATACACATGACAATCCCTATCCTGTTTTAACGAAGGCAATGAGTAAAGCCACCTAAATTTATGAATCAACTTAAAAGTTCTTTGCAAGCCCCCTGCATAACATTGAAGCTGTGCAAACCGTTTCTAATTTAAAACAAATTTTATTCTGTCACTTTTTTGATTGAAATTCTCAAACCAATTTTCTAAACGGATTCATCTTTGCGATGTGTGTGTGGGAGTATGCATGCATATATGATATACATATATATATTTATTTATATGTATATATATGTATGTATGTATACCATATATGCATACATGCCTGCACGCATACATACACACATACACACACATACATAATTATACATACGTATATATATTTTTATGTATATGTATATAACGCTAATATGATAGAGAAGTGTTAGATATGACAAAGTCTTTTCATCACAATCACCAGCAAATAAGGCGAAAATAGAACAAAGATGATTTACTCTCAAAGGAATGTTTTAAGCGCAATCCCGGTTGGCCAGCTGTCCTCATTCCAGGCTTGATATCAAATGACATTGTATACAGGGAGGCTGGGCATGATCAGCTGTTATAGTCGTTGGAGTGTGTGCTTCTTGCGGGGAAATCAGCCTGACAAGCGACTCGCCATTCTCTGCTGGCAATGGAGTGATGCTTGAGATAATTGGCACCAGACTCGAGGTTGCAGAAGACTCAAGCCCCTCCGATGGCAGCAGCGGCGATTTGTGCACCTCAAGGGAGTCGAAGCAGGCCAACTGTAGAAATGGCGGACTGTATGCGCCCAGATAGACGCCCCGACTTGCAGGTAGGTTCGCTAATTCGCCCGGTTCTGGGTCCGAAGTCTCCGGATGCGCCGGAACTGCGGGGGGACTCGTGGAGGGAGCGGACAAACACGAGCTGACAGTTCCTCCGGTTGAGGTGAACGAGGAGCAGGAGGCAGTATTGGCAGATGTGGCCCTATTATTGTTGATGCTGCTATTGCTGCTGTTGCTGTAGTCTTTGTTGATGGACGAGGGCAATTGTACAGCTACAGGGGCCTGGCAAGCCGGTCGGACAGCTCGAACGCCGAAGCCTCTACCGTCTAAAGTGTCATGTGTCACGGGGGTGCCATATTTGAGGGGGGCAGGGCTATCGAAAGGGCAGGCTCCTGGCACAGTTTGGTTGAGTTGGGACTTTGGGACGGGCGAGTGTACGAAAAGAAGTCTGACGCATTGTCTTACGTCGGTAGGGAAATTGGAAATCGTCTGGCTTTCCTGTTCCATTGTGGGCGACTTTGAGATTTCGTTTGGTTGCCTCAAATCCTCCTCATCCCTCTTTAGCCAAATGGCCGTCGTGCCAAACTGCACACCTTCAGAGTTCTCGTTCTCCCCACCTCTTCTACCACCCCCTTCCGATCCGTCGCCCAACTCCACTGTCCAGACTCTTGTCTCCATGGGGCTACTTGGAGGCTGAGCAGGCAAATCGGGTACTGGTAGAGTTGGTGCAGGAGGCGTGGTAGATGGGATACCGATCGTGGTGACTCGCCTTGGCCGGCATAGGTAGACAAGACAAGTGACGGAGATGAGAAGGACTGAACTGGCGCACACCAAACAAACAGTCAGCCAGGCATCCAGGTTCATCAACCAGTAGGATCCACTGTCTGCCGAGTTCCAGTTACCCTTTTCTTTCTCCGTCTCATCCGAAGTGAGACTCGAGGCCAGGAAGCCTGAATATGTATTTCTCATTGCCTCGGTATGGTTTGAACTGGGCACAACGAACGACCTTGGAGAGGTAAAAAATGAGGAAGCTGAGGCTGACGGAGAAGAAGGAGAGGAAGATAAGCCTTTTCTTGCCTCTATCGTATGAACATCTTTGTGACGACGACTCTTTTCGTCTGTGCCCAGAATAGAATTTCCCTCTGTTCTCTGATCCCCACCAGACATGCGAGGGACAATTGAAGGCGACTGCATCTCATGACTTTGAACTGCGGATAAGCTAAGAAAAGATTTTTTTGGTAAAATGGGGCATTTATCGCTTTAATATGAAGCTAAACATTTTGTGCAATTTTGACTTGAGATGCTTTGAAAACACCAGACATTTAGACAAAATGAAATCAATTGCCTTTTATCCTATTGAGTAGGTTTTCAAGGCTACAACTAAATCAAATAGATGAGTTGTAATCACTCAATTTCGTTTAAGGTGATGAAGCACTGGTAGAAGAATTTTCCCACAATGATATGAGTAGAGTTGACGTTTCCATTGAATTTCCCATAGCCTTGATTTCATAAAAGTTGTTTTCATCCAAGCAGAAGTAGACTGCAATTTCGACCTCGAATCGGTCTTATCAACACCCGAAGCAGGAGTCGAACCATGACAGTGCAGCGTGTAATCTCGACACGTTACCATTACAAAGCATTAATGTAGGTGTTGCTAAGATCTAGGCGAGGTCGAAACTGCAGTCCATCCAAGATGTTAACACTTTTTGGGAAAACAACTCTATATAAAATTCAATGAAAACTTCAGTACTACTCATATCAATTGAAATTAATTGTGACATGACATTCCATTTCGAAGGAAAAGTTAGTTGGAAGGAATTCATGATGTGGACTCACTGGAAACTAAAGGAGGATTGCCTCACAGGGAAGACTGTTGTATTGTGTAATAAAGAACATCATAGCAAGAATTCATACTTTAAGGAATAGAGAAAAAATAGGCTAAATTTATTTCTTAGCTTAGTGCATTTTTTGCAGTATTTCTTAAAGTATGAAGTCCTGCTCTGGTGATGCATGTGACAGTGCAGACGAAAGCCTAGCACAGGTTAATCGC